CTGCCGCGCTCTCCCCGAGGTTTCACTCCCACGCGTCACATCCTTACACCGACCCTTGCTGAGCCTGCTCTCTCGGGACTGTTTAATGGGGCGTCCGTTTGTATTGTTCTGAGATTTGGGGTTTTGCTGTCTTGCTCCTGAGTCACTGCTGTTTGCCTGGCTGCCCCGGCAGCTTCCTGCTCTGCAGCGCTGGGTTATGTGTGAGGCCATGGCAGGGGCGCCTGGTCCACGGGCGGGGGGCCGTTGGGGCACCCGTTTTGGCCCCTGTCGCGTAGCAGCACTGAGGACCCAGGGGCACTGGTGCTGTTGGGACACCCTGCACGTGAGGGGTGGCCAGGGCCGGGCAGACGCGTTGCTCGTGCTTCTGTGACCTGTCCCTGCTCCTGTCCTGTCGACACCAGGCGGCGGCGGCCTTGACCGTTTGCCCGTCTTGGGTGTGGAAGGGTGTCTTCTGGGTTGAATTCGCGTTTCCCCAGTAACTAACGGGGTTGATCAGTTTTTCCTGTGATTGTTGGGCACTTGTGTTTCTCTGGTTAACCCTCTCTGTGTTTTTCTCCTGGGTTTATCCTGCTCTTACTGACGTCATCCCCTGTCACGGTTTGCATTTTTCTGTTTCATCTAATAAATTTTGTCACAAGCTGATAACGACTTTACCTTTGGTGTGCATATTTAAGCCTTCGAATCACTTGGAGTTGAGTTTGTTTGAGGAGTGAGGTGGGGTGGGGACGGTGGTCTGTGGTGTCGCTTCTCTCTGCTCGTGTAGCGAGTTGTCCTGAACCCTTTACTGAGAACCCCACCCCTTCTGCAGACGTGCGGCGCCAGCTCTGTGACAAATGCGGTTCCGTGTGGGTTCCCTCGGCTGGTTGTCTGTGTCTGTGCAGAATTCCATCTTCATTGGCATAGTTATTGTGACTCTTGGTATTTTCTACGGCGAGTTGCTTACTTCCCTCGGAGACGCCCGGGGTGCGTTTGGCCTGTGGCTGCGCACACCTCGGAGTCCCCGTCACAGCTGGGCTGGGACTGCTCTGCGTCCGCGGCGGTGGTGCATGAGGGTCGGAATCCTTGGCATCCTGAGTCTCCGGTGCACACATGTGCTTGTCTTTCTGTTTATGGAACTTCTTTAACGGCTTCAAGTGTTTATCGTTTTCTCTGTGAAGATCTTACATATCCCTTATTAAACTTCTCTTAACAAAATAAAAACTAATTTTTGCTGCCATTCTGAGCAGTGCCTGCTCTAAGTCTTTGTGGCTGGTGCATGCACACACATTAGTTTCTTCTAGAAGCCAAGTCCAGGGGTTTTATTTAACGTTCACACATTATTAATTATTATTATCTTACTTACTAAACGTGGGGAGTTTCAGACATAGAAGAACAGACACAGTAACGTAAGGAGCCCGGCGCATGTCCACTTGGCTTTGTCGCGTGTCCCCTGCAGCCGGGCCAGCCTCACCTGTGCCGTCAGGAACCCCACCGCGGGGCGTTTGGAAGGAGGTCCCAGAAGCCAGCACATCCCATGTGTGAGTGTTTCAGAGTGCCTCCTCCTTTCCGTGATCGCATGTCCCACCAGAATGTAGCCGTGGCTTCCTGCCAGCGGTCAGACTCTGGGCGCCCGTGGAGCCCACAGGTGCCCGGCGTCCCCGTGGGCACCCTGATCGGGCCCACTGTCGTGGGTGGATGCGCCTTGTAAGTCTTTCTGCTTCTCTGGATATCCCTCCATCTTTTAGTTCTGCTGCTGCTTTTTTTTCTTAAACTTTGTTTCTTGGGGAGACCATGCTTTTCCTTTGGAGTGTGGTTGGTTTTTGTCCACTGCCGTTCTGCTGAGGCCCTTTTATGAACTGCAGTGATTTGTAGAATCTTGAGTTTCCTGTATAGACAGTGTCATTTGTGAGCATCACAGTGTTTTTCTCTTCGGTTCCAACGCCTTCGCCTTTGGTGCGCTCTCCCTGCCGCCCTGAGCTGGCGGAAGCGGTAGCACAAAGCTGAGTGCGAGCGGTGATTGTGCCCCGCGGGCGCTGTTGCGAGAACAGGGCTTTGTGCTTCTCACGTGTTTCTGGGGTTCTGCTGTGAAACCGCCGCCCGGGCCGAGTGATTTCCTGGTGGAAGGCCTTTGACGGCCGATTACTTTCCCATCTGTACAGGCGCCCAGGCTCTCTGTTTCTTACTGGGTCAGTTTGTGAAGTTGTGGTTTTCAGGACGTGTGTCTGCTCCATCAAAATGTTCAAGTTGTCTGAAATAACGCTGTGGGTGGCCACGTCGTCAGGTGTGACCCGGGCAGCGTCCTGGGTGGTTAGGGGCACAGCTCAGAGGCAGCTGCCCCGGTTCCGACCCCCGGTCGCCGTGTTCCAGCCGGCCCCAACCCCCCGGAAATGGGTCAGGTAGAGAGGGGAGCTTCCCTCCCATCGCGTGGAGGTGAGGGGCCCAGGGTTCCCGCTGTTCACTAGCGCCCGAGGTGTCGGGACCACGCCCACGTTTTATTCCTAAAGCTGTCTGTTCACATGGCTCCTCTTTTCTTCTGTGATCAGTGTTGACAGACACTGGCAATTTTATAAGCCTCGCCAAAGAGATGACTTGTCTTTCTTGATCTTTATTATATGCTAGTTTTAAGATTTGATGGATTTCTTCCTTTTTTTTTTGTTTACCTTTTTTTTGTGTGGGAGAGCAATCAGGTTTACTGGGGATTGAACCCAGAACCTCGTGTGTGCTAGGCTCAGGCTCTGCCGCTGAGCTAGCCCCTGCCCCAGGGCTGCTGGATTCTGCCAGTGTGTTTAGTGTTTCCCTCCTCCTCTCTCTGAGTTGATGCTGTTTTGTTTTTCTAACCCCTAAGTTGGACGTTTACCTCATTCATACTCAGTTTTCATTCTTTTCCAATAAAAGCATTTAAGAATATAAATGTCCAAATAATTAGTTTTAGTTGGATATCACCCATTAAAAATATCTGATATTTGTAAAGTTAATGTTTATTGTATTATTTTATTTCCATTATGATTTCTTCCCTGATCCAGGGTTTATTTAGAATCATAGTTTATCATTTCCAAACATACGACTTTTCTTAGTTGTCTTTTAAAAATGATTTCTTAGTTAATTACATCTCTGTCAACAAAGGATGTGCATCGTCCTGATTTGTTGACAGTTGCTGAAACCCGGACTGCGTCTGTGATGCTGGGTGTGATTCTGGGGGTGACCGGGAGGCCTCCCAAGGAGGCAGGCCCCAGGTGTGGGAGCAGCTGCCGTCAGTGGTCCCTCCTGTGTGCCAGCGCTGTGGGTTATGGGTTACTTGGTGGCCCTGGAGTTAATGACGCAGAGCTTAGGGTGGGCTGTTACCGTAAAATCCCATCAGAAATTCAGCAAAAAGCCAAGTGGGAGGTTACTGACACATAAAGAACTCACTTAAGTAGGAGGAAAACCCCCATATCTTTATCCAGATGGGCCCGATCCGTGTAGAGAGGGATGGCTTCAGTGTGAGAAGTGCTCAGCCGCACTGGTACCCAGAGAGGTGGACGTGCACAGGGCCATCCTCCTGTGGCCAGGCTGCGCGGGGCGGGCTCCCTCGGAGGAGGGGGCACGCTGCTCCCTGCCTCCGGACCCCGCCTTCCGTTCCCTGGCCCAGCCCTGCCCCTTCTCTTTTAGGAAGTAACCAGAGATTTAGGCAGAGGTGTTCGCTGCAGCGGGACACAGGACAGTTCAGCAATGCCGTAGCTCGCGTTGGTGGGATGTGATGCCGTCTTTGGGGTCGGTTGTTGGAAGCTGCCGGGTGACCCATCTGCATCCAGAGAGGATGACAGACATGGGGAAATGAAACAGGCGAGACCACGTCCACAGTTGCTAGCTGTGTGAGACCCTCCCCCCTCAGTGACAGCAGCGTTTACCTCAGGGCGCGTGGTTACCAAGGATCTTTACTGTTTTCTTTATACTTGTCTGCTTCAAATTTAAGTTGTCCCAGCTCTTCCCAGGGTTCAAAGCTGGTGGGATTCCAGAGGGCAGGCCAGACTGGCCCCTCCATGGGTGTCTGGGGACCGTATGGAGTAACCTGAGGGGGTGGTGGGCAGGGCTGGGACTTCTGGTGACTGGATGCGGTGTGGCGAGGACATTGGGTGGCATGTGTGGCCTGCGGTCTCCTTGCTCCCCACAAAGCAGGTGGTGACCCCACTGCTGGGTTCCGGGGCAGTGGTCGCTGGGGCTGGGGTTCCCATCTGGGGAGGAGGCCCTGCCTGGAGGCTCCCTGTGAAGCCCTTGGGGAAGAGGGAATTCACCTGGCCTAGCCTTCTTGAGAGATGGGCCCCGTCCTGGACCTTCAGACCCAGACACGCCTGGACGTGGAGGCCTTTCCTGAGGAGGAGCTGCTGAGGCAGGGGCTCAGCGGAGATGGGCCCGGGGCGTCAGTCACCCGGGAGTTCCCCGGGCCGCCGCCGTGGCCAGACAGCTTCGGAGCACGCTCCTGGGACCCGCCCTCCTCCTTGGAGCCTGGACGGAGCGGGGCTGGCACACGGCCTGGCCCCGCCACCTCCGCCGACCCTGAGGTGCCCTGGGTAGGATGCAGCCTGGCTCCGGAGGCATCCGAATGTCTTCACAGTGTGCCTCTTAGGGTCTGGGAATCCAGCGAGTCCGTCCCGGAGGCTCAGAGAGGAAAGTGCATCCTCCCTGGGGCCCAGTCCTGTGCCTGGGCCTGTTGAGGGCCCTGCAGTCGCTGCTCAGCTCCACAGACACGTATCAGGGGAACCGATTTTTTTTCCCCCACTTCCGATATGCCATGAATAATTCTTCCATAAAATGCAATGGAATGGCCCCATGCTGGTGGTGTGCCGATTTCAAATGGTCATGAGCTTTCCCAAAACCTTATTCTCCGCTTTGCATATCGCAGACAGATAACACCTGTTGAAGTCCTGGCCTGGTCTGTGGGCCTCACCTGAGGCTCTGCTCTAAGGAGTTTCATACTGGTTTGGAATCACCTTCCAGAAGAATTGGGGTACAGAGAAAGATCTGAAAGATCCGAAGTTTTGAACTTGGGGCTGGCTTTCAGCAAATGGGGGGTGTCCTGCAGGATGTGGCGGTCAGGGAGGGCTTCCTGGAGGAGGTGGGTCTGAGTGAGTGGAGCTCTCAGCATGGACGCTTGGAGGCCTGGGGCACCTGCTGTCCTGCATGAAAGCCTCACTCCACCAGCAGCACCCTGAGCACCCTGAGCCACTCTGTGGACAGGCTGGGCATAACTGTGACTATCCCTTGCTGTCTGTAGAGTGTGCTAAATTTTGGACCCAGTATGGGAGCCACCATTTCCCCCGCCCATCACCTGAGAGCAACCTGTGGGACCCCTTTGTGGGCGAGGGGCCAAGAGGGGCCAAGAAGCGAGGTACTTCCACTGGGACGCTGGGGCTGGGGGGCCCCAGGGAAGGGCACCCACAGGTGCCTTGTGCTGAGGAGGGAGAGTCAGCAGGTAGGCCTTGGGATTCCGGGGGCTCAGGCTGGGGGACCCTGGGCAGTACTGAGCCAGGGGAGCTGGAGCAGGGATTCCCACCTGTCTCTACCTTCACCCCCACCAGCCCTTCCCTTTCCTTCCTCAAGGACCATGGATGGCGTGGTGGGGCTGGACCGGTGGCAGGAGAGATGTGGCCCGGCTGTCAGGGTGACCTGGTCTCCAGGGACGAGGCCAGTCCTAAGGATGGAGAGTGAGGGTCTGGACTGGCCCCCATGGCCCCTCGGTCCCAGGGCCCGCGTCCTCCTTGCAGAGGGGGCTAGCGCAGACGTGTGAGGTCCTCTGTGTGCTTTAGGAGGGTGCTGTGCAGGAGGGGAGGCTGAGGCCTTGACTCATCCAGCTGGGCAGGAAGGCAGGAGTCAGCGGTGCCCTGTGGGGTCTTGGTCAGGGCGTCTGACTTGTCATTGGTGAGGACTGTCCCCAGGTAGGCCCTGGCCCTGGTCCCGGAGGGCCTTCTCCCTGCGGACGGGAGACAGCTCCCCCCGACGACAGCTGCAGGAGGCAGGCAGGGCTGGGGTGGCCCTTTTTGGAGACAGGCACTGTGGCCCGAATGCCTGGCTGGATGGCACCCAGCCAGGCAGTGGCAGGGCCAGGACTTGGACCCAGGCCCCAGAACACCCAGCAGGGAGTGGCCGGGGGCTGGCAGCAATGTTCTGAATTGGAAGCCAAAGAGAAGGCGCCCCAGGAGCTGGTGTCACAGCTGCCACCCACCAGCCAGGGCCTTAAACACCGCCTTTTGGTGCCTTTCCAGGGCCAGGGCTCACCACTGACAGTGGCGGGACCCTGGAGCCTGCCTTGCTGCCTGCCGGCCTGAAGAGGGACTCGGCTGTGAGAGCCCATGGCCGGAGGATGGGGCCCAGCGCCACCCGGGCCAAGAAGAGGAAGCCCAACTTCTGCCCGCAGGAGACGGAGGTGCTGGTGTCCAAGGTCAGCAAACACCACCAGCTGCTGTTCGGCACCGGGCTGCTGAAGGCTGAGCCCGCCCGCAGGTACCGCGTGTGGAGCCGCATCCTGCAGGCCGTGAATGCCCTGGGCTACTGCCGCCGCGACGTCGTGGACCTCAAGCACAAGTGGCGGGACCTGCGGGCTGTTGTGCGGCGCAAGCTGGGCGACCTACGCAGAGCGGCCCCTGGCCCCGCCGAGCCCCGGGCCCTGGCCCTCACGCCCGTGGAGCAGGTGGTGGCCGAGACCTTCTCCTGCCAGGCCCTGCCGTCTGAGGGCCTTGACCTGGAGCCGCCCAGGGGTGAGTTCCTCGCCCGGCAGGAAACTGGTGGCCACTGCTGGCGGCTGTCCTTCCTGTGCCTCCTGTCCCCTGTCCCCCTGCGACCTCTGGACCCTTGCTGTCCTTCATCCTCCTTCACCCCCGCTGCAGCATCTAAACCCCAGGCACTTCAGGGGAGTTGACTTCCCCCTCAGTGGCGCTCAGCCCTCTCCCACACTGCGCAGAGCTCTGAGCCGGCACAGACACCGTGCTCTTCCAAGGGCATCTAGTTCCAGCCTTTGGGCCGAGACCTGCAGTAAGAAAGACGTTTTCTCCTGCCACCAGCGTCCCTGGGGCATCTGAACCCCAGAGGCTCCAGGGCGGTGCTTACCCCACCGCTGTTCCCGCTGCGTGTCTTTCCTGTCCCGTCCCACCGCTGAGCAACGTGCTCCTGGCAACTTTCCGAACTGGTTTCCCCACCTGGTGTCAGGGCTCGGCTTGGAATGCCTGGTGTCTCTGTTGCTGATTCAACATCCAGGGGCGGCCTCAACACGGGCTGGGCTGACCCTGTGTATCAGGATGGGCGGATGGAGACACAAGCCCCGGTTACCAGGTACTTCAGGCCTCTAGACTCAGGCAGAGCCCTTCCCAGGCCTCTTTCCAGGGGAGCATCGCTCCATGGGGCCTGACTGCTCCATGAGGGCTCCAGTCGTGCGTAGCAGGTCGGCGCAGGTCTGCCACCTGGGAGCTCAGTGCTGGGTCCCAGACAGGCACTGGGACAGCACGTTGTGTGGAAGGGCGCCGACCCAGCGGCATGCAGGCTATACAACTGCTGTGTGAGGCCATCGCGGCAGCAGCCACGGGGCTGGAGGAGGGTGAGGGTGCCCGTCCCTGTGTGGGTCCCTGCTGCATGAGCCTTGGGTGTCCCTTCTGTCACTGGGCTGGGCTGGCCTTGAGTTTGCGGCTGCAGCAGGTGGTCCCCGCCCCTCAAGACACCAGCCCAGCTCTGCTTTTGCTCCGAGCCTGCATGCGGCGATGACTCAGACGGTGTGGGGCGCCTGGGAGATGTTCCGAGCTGCAGCCTCTGCTCGGCCCCCAGGAGGGACAGGCAGAAGTGGCAGCCCCCAGACCATGCAGACCCCCAGTGGCCTCTCCTCTGGGCAAGGCTGCTTTCCTGAGGCCATGGGGCTCCTGCTGCCTCTGGTGTTGGAGCTTGGAGGCCATCTCAGCCCACGGCCTCACCCTCTGTGCTATTTGGGGTGAGGACAGGTGCCCCAGTGGGTCAGACAACTTGTGTTGAGGTGGTGGTCACGCTGGGAGACCAGGGGGCTGTGGTCCTGGGGCCCCAGGCTCCTTGACCTCTGCTTCCATGAGGAGCAGCTGTCCTCAGAGGTCAGAGTCAGGGGCTCGTGAGGAGTGTCTGGTGGCCGTGGCTGGCCCACAGGAGGGCTGGGTGCAGGCTTGTGGACGAGGCCGTGGACGAACAGATGTGGTGTTGACGGGGTGGCAGTGACGTTGGTGGGAGCCATGCTGGGGGACATGGCGAAGACAGGTGAGGGGCCCCTTATCCAGCCCTGTGTCCCAGGCCTCTGGTCCCCTGGGCTGTCTGTGCTGCACTGGGCCCCAGGAGCACGTTCTCTGGCGTGGGGTCAGAGGGCAGGGGCTAGAGGGCGTGTTCAGGCCTGAGGCCAAGGCCCCAGTCTGCTGCTCACTGGCCCTCAGCTCCTCGCAGTCTGTCCACTGCCGCCCTGTCCTCGCGTCCTACCCACGCGCACCAGGACTGGCCTTTACTGCCCCCCAGCGAGAGTCCCTCTGCCCCTGCCTTCCCGGGACACAAGTGTCTGGTCCTGTCACCTGTGAAGATGCCCAGATGTGCGTGGGGGGCAGGCGGTCACTGGAGGCCGTTCTCTCGTGTTCCGACCCTTGGTCAGCATCTTCCATGTCACTGGCCCCTCCTCTGTGCAGGGTCCGTGCCTGATAGCCACAGAGCCAGTAGCAGGTGGCCGCAGAGGTCCAGGCTGTGACCCGGAGCCCCGGGTAGGCTGCTGGGTCTGAACACCAAGAGCCAGAGGCGGGAGAGGAGAGGAAACAAAGCTGTGCTCTGGTCTGGCCTCAGACGCACATGCAGGCTGCCCGGCCACTGTGGGGCCGGCTGGGGCCACGCCCGGCTGAGTCAGCTTCCCCGCGGGCCGTATGCAGGGCAGGCTGGGGCCACGTTTGACTCCCGCGGGGCTCTCCATGCTGGCCACAGGGTGTTGTGCAGCCGAGCCACCCTGGGTCCCTCTGGGTCCCCCTCCCACCCGGCCTGTGGCTGCTGTAGGCACCCTTAGGACCCAGCAAAGGGCAGGGCAGCCCCTGCAGCAGATGGGGCGCCGACCTGGTAACAAAGCCGAACTGGCAGCCGCACGGGGACGTCTTCATCCTTGTCCCCGCGTCGGGCAGATGAGGCCCCGCAGCCCGCGGTGAGATGTGGGCGATGCGGAGCCCGGTGACTTTAAGTCTCCTTATCTCTGCTCACGGTGGAGGGGGGAGGCCCAGGGACAAGCCCGATAAGCCGTGCTGATGTTTTATTTTAATTTCCCGAGGGCAGTGGAGTCGTTCAGGTGGCGTGAAGAGGGCTTCCCCTTCCTTCTTGGGGTGGGGGTGAGGGGCTGCTGCAGAAGGGGGCGCCCCCTGGGCTCCTCCGGGGTGTGCTTTGCCCAGCACGTGCTCTGGACACCTGTGCGGAGGGAGAGGTGGATGGGCCCTGCCCTTGCCCTGAGGGAGGCCGCCTGGGCCACGGGGGACCTGGTGCTGGGAAGACGGGCTATGTGGTGGCCACAGGCCAGGGCCACGGGGCTGGGCAGAGGCGGGTGCTCCGGTCTCCCCCCTCGTTCTGAACACAGGGCACAGCTTCATCCAAGTTTGACTGAACGGGCAGGACAGCACGTCCCGAGGGCCCAGTTCAGTGAGGCGTGCCCAGGAGCACAGGGACGCTTAGTGCAGGGCGTCCTGTGGCTCCCGCGGTCTCCCGCGCCCCCGCCCGCCTACCCGGGGGCAGCGCTCAGTGCCTCGGCCGGGTGGGCTGGGCTGCGCTTTGCAGGGCCTCACCTGCGTGGGGTCTGCGGGCCGCCCTCCTCGGGCTCCGCTTCCTTCCTGCCTCGCGTGTCGAGGACCAGCCAGGGGTGCTGGGCAGTTGGTGGCTCATCCTTCCGCTGCTCAGGAGGGGACCCTCCACGGTTCGTGCCCCGTCCACAAGGTGAGCGGGCCCTCGTTGCCGGCCTTGGCCCCGTAAAGGTGTGCGAACGTCTGTGTGTGGATGCGCGTTCTTGCGTTCTTGAGGGGGGTTGGACAGATACCTAGGGGTCTAATTGCTGCTTGTGCGTGCGTGTGAGTTAACTTCGTAAGATGCTGCCGACCTGTCATCCCCGGGCTGAGCCGGTCTCAGGCCCCACAGTAGGGCCCGCGAGGCCCCTCGGCGCCCCTGCCGCACTGCTGCCGTGGTCCCGCTGGTTTTGGCCGCTCAGCTGACGAGCTGAGGGACCGCCCCCTGTTTCAGCCGCCACCCGTGCCCAGACTCTTGTCCCGTGCTTCCTGTCCACTTGTCCATCTTCCTTGGTGCTCAGTCCACGCCCGTCCCCTGTTGGGCTGCTGGCCTGTCCTGTCACATGAGCTCGGTCTTGGTTCTGGATATAAGGGACCCGTCAGACCCCCGCGAGTCTCTCGGGCTCTGGCGGCTTGTGTTCCTTCACTGTCTTCCTGAAGGTCAGAGCAGGGCGTTTTGACGCCCGCGCGTCCTTGTCCAGCCTGTGCCCTCCATACCCGACCTAGTAAACCTCTGCCCCGGGGCTGCAAGGTCCCAGAGCTGTGGGTTGTGTGTATTTTAAAATAGTTTTATAGTTTCAAGTCCATGGCCCACGCTGGGTGCATTTTTGAGCTTGGCGGATTTGGGGTCACGGTTCGGTGGACGGCAGCTGTTCACACCGGCGGTTGCGTGCCGAGTGGCCTGGGCACTTCTGGCCACGCGCGTCTGCCCGTCTGTGTCCTGCTTACGCGGCACGCGCTGTGCGGGGCGGCAGCTGTGGGGTGAGTCTTGGAGTGAGCGTGGAAGCACTTCCTCCTCCTGTTTTCTGCGAGGGTCTGTGTGGAATCGGCACTGTCCTTCCCTTACGGACGTGGCGGCGTCACCAAGGCAGCCGCCCGAGCCGGCGTTCTCTCTGGGGAGGCCCGTCGCCCAGTCTCTGTTCTGAGCCGCCCGCGCTGCCCGTTCTTCTCCAGTGAGCTTTGCTGCTGTTTGGTGTCTTCAGGGAACTTGCATGTTTCATCAGAGTCATCAGAGTGACTGGCACGAAGTGTCGCTAACGTCCGAACGCCTGTGGGGTCCGTAGCGAGAGCGCCTCTCTCCTTCCTGATGTTGCCAGTTTGTGCTTTCTGTTTGGTTCTCCGCTGGTCTGGCTGCTAGTCTGTCGGTTCTGTTGATTGTTTCAAAGGACCAGGTCCTGGTTTCATTCGTGCTCTGCTTCCCCTGCCGAGTCAGTTGCGCTCTGCTGGCCGCTGCGCCCCTTCCTCCGGCCTGTTTGGGGCCGTCTGTGTCGGTCGCCGACCTGAGACCCTCTCGTCCCTGGGCGCAGCCACGGCAGCTTTCCCGCGGCGCGCTGCTCTGCCCACACGCGTCCGTGCGCTGCGGTTTCACTCAGTTCAGTGCTCTCTAAGTTCCTCCGTGATCTTGCTGTCTCACTGGTGGCTGTTCGGAGGCGTGTGGCTGCCTTCCGAGCACTTCTCTGTCCCCAGGCGCCTTCCTGCTGCTGGTCTCCGGTTTAATCCTCTCGTGCCCAGAGGGTGTGTCTTGCTTGACTTTCAGCTTTTATGAGCTTGAGACCTGCTCTGTGGCCGGAGGCGGGGCGTCCTCTGGGCTCCTGGTGCGCTTGGCACGAACGTGTGCTCGGCTCCTTTCGGGTGGCGTGTCCTGCACATGTCGCCCTGGCCCGGTTGATGGCCGCGCTGACTGACAGCTGGTCTCCGCCTGCCAGGTGTCCGTGGCCCCATCCTGGCAGGGTGCTGTGCCCCTGCGTCTCCCCGAGACCCTCCCCAGGCTCAGGAGTGAAGCTTCTCCTGCGTGCACCTGCATCTCTCTCTGAACACCAGGGTGGCATCTCTGGGCCAGGGGGCCGAGGACCGCCTTCTGTGGGACAGCAGGCCTCTCCGTCGTGGCTGTGCCATCATAAGCGTCCCCTCCTTGCTAGGGCTTGGTGGTGCCCGCGCCGTGTTCAATGTGTTTATTTAATGGAGATAAAATTCACCATTTTAACCGCTCTGAAGTGTTTGGCTCAGTGGGTTTTAGTATATTCACGTTGTGCAACCATCACCACTGTCTAATTCCAGAACATTCCATCACCCCAAAGGGAGACCCCACACCCGTTAGCAGTCAGCCCACCCCCACCCCCTGCCCTGGCCACCACGGATCTGCTTTCTGTCCCATGGACCTGCCTCTGGGTGTGGACATTTCATGTAAGTGGAATCAGAGGCCTCGGTATCTGGCTTTTAACCAAGGAGCGTTTTCCAGACTCAGCCACGTGGTGGCATGTCCATGGTCCTTCCTCTCCCTGGACCATGCTTCCTCATCAGCTGGTGGACGTCGGGTGGTCCTGCCTGTGACTCTTGAACACGTGTGTTCAATCTTGTGCCCTGGCTGTGCCCGGCTGTGGGGAGCAGGGCGGGTGGCACCAGGCTTGGCCCAAGGACCCCCATCTTTGTGCCTTTCTCTCCTTCTCCAGCCGAGCGCCTTGGGGCAGGTGGTTCCTGTTCCATCTCTGAGGCTCCATCCGACCCTGGTGGGCAGAGCTGGGGGGGGTGACTTTGTCCAAGGGTGGAGGACCCAGGCTGCTGCAGGCCACACAGTGAAAGTGTGTCCTCCCCCTCCCGTCTCCTCGCAGCCACCCAGATGGACCCGAGTGACCTCCAGGAGCTGTTCCAGGAGACGTCAGCCAACGTCTTCAGGATCAACTCCAATGGTGAGTCTGTGCCCCAGCCTTGCCCCTCCCTGAGCTGGCTGACCCTGGCTGCTGAGCGCACTGCAGCGTCGGGGTGAAATGGGGTGATGCTTGTGGCCTTCCCCGACTCGAGTGCCCTGCGGCCCAGGCCCAGGCGTCTCAGGACAGCGGGGGTGAGGGAGGTGGGCCAGGTTGGCATGAGCCTGCCGTCTCAGGCCGGGCAGTGTCCCCGGTGCTCTCCCCGCCCACGTCACCCGGCTCCAGCAGGCACCCTCTTCAGCTCGACTCCTCTCTCTCCCGTCACACCCCTGTGACCTGGACGGGCCCTGGGGGAGGAGCGGGTAAGAGCCTTCCTCAGGTTGGCAAGGCTGGCAGACTCACGGGTCCTTGAGGCTGGGGGTCGGGGTGGGAGCCACACCCCGTAAGGCCGGGGCTCATCCTCGGCTCCTGCAGGACACGGGGACACAGAGTGGGCAGGGGTTGGTGATGCCCTGAACCCTGAGCTCTCCTAGGTCAGTAAAAGCGATGACTGGGGGAAGAGAGACGCCCCCTCCCCAGACCCAGGGTGAAGCCTGCTGGAGGTGGCTCCCGAGAGTCCTTGGATCCGATATGGTCCTGGGTGCTTTTCCCAGGACTGCTGGGGAGACAGGCCCTGGCCGGGGCCTCTGCTGGGGGTGGGGGGTTGCCTGGCGGAGCCCCGTCTGCTCCTCACTCCTGTCCCCCTTCTCTTGGCAGTGACCTCTTTGGAGCAGAGCCTCCGGTCCCTGGGGATGCCGAGTGACACGCAAGAGCTGCGGGACAGCCTGTGAGTATGTATGCAGTGCCATGTGTGTGTGGGGTGTGCCCTGCCCCCAGTTGCACATGGGTGAGGCCCTCCACAGGGCACATAGGTGTGCGCGGAGGTGCACCTGTAACACTCCTGTAGACACCTGCATGCAGTGCACTCAGGTGGCAGGACATGCAACTGCTTGCACACTTTCTGCCCCACTGACTGTCCCCAAATGTGCCTGCCACACACCAGAGCTCACAGAGGGCCTGCGCACTTGCAGTGCACCTCTGGGACACTGCACAATACAGCTGTGCCGTCTGCACGGCCGGTGTGCAGCGGTGGACGTGCAGGCTGGGCAGGAGCAGGCCTTTGGGCTTTTGCTTCTGCCCCGTGGGGTCCCACTGGGTCTTGTGTCAGGGTTGTCCCGAGGCCTGCCGGGGGTCGGGCTGGGTAAGGCAGCTGGTCTGCGGTGAGGTCAGCTCCTGACAGAAAGGCCCCTCAGGTGCTGGGTCCCCAGGAGGAGAAAGCAGGTGCTGCAGGAGCCTAGCCTGTCTGGCGTGGGGCAGGAGCTCTGTGTTCAGGCCAAGGCTGCCAGGCCTTTCTCAGGGTGCCCCAGTGAACCCCAGCCCTTCCAGCTGCGATCCCAGCACAGTGTGGAGTGGAGGGCACCAAGAGGGAGCCCGAGGCCTGCATCTGAGAGCCCCTGTCCCCTTTGCCACCTCCCTGAGGGGGCCCTCTCATCCTGAGCCATTATGCCTGGAAAGGGGGTAATGTGGGTGGTGGACCGCACATGCTCTGGGGGTGGCGCAGGCTGCCGCCAAGGTCCCTATCTCTTCCTGGCATAAATGTTCATTGGAGAGTTTGGGGCTCCTCTCCCAGGCGGCCCCCATCCTTAGACCATCCAGCCCAGAGGAAACCCTGGGGGCAACTGGGTTCCCTGGGACGCCAGGGTACTGGGCAGAATTGAGCCCAGTGTCCCGCATGGAGCCACCCCAAGTGCTGTGCCTGGACCCTAGGACTTTTCCCAGTCCCCTGTCGGGGCTTCCCAGCCTGGCTGCCCCCTCTCCTACCCCCGTCCTTGGTAAACTGCAGTGCTTCTGGGATGGGGACAGCCCACAGCGTGCAGCAGGTGGTAGGGGGCCTAGTGGGTCCCTAACCCCCAGCTTTGCTCTGGGCAAGTGGAGCAGTTGGCGGCCCCCAGGAGAGAAGCTGTCCTGCGGTAACAAGTCTGATGGCGAGCCCCAGGGCCCGAATCCCCGGGGGTCCAGTGCTTGCCAATGTCAGGCCAGCACCTTGTCTCTCGTCAGACCTCAGTAAGTGCCCGGCCATCAGCAGCCGTGCCTCCCAGCCCTTGTCAACGCAGCACCTGGCCGGCCTCCCCGACAGGGAGCCTTATGGTTTGGAAACCCAGGCCAGGCACCCGGCTGCACCTCTGAGGTCTGGGCCGTTCACTTTTGGGCTTAACGTTTTCTACTCTGATGATTCTTGATGCTTTGGAATTAGAGATTGTGACAGAATCACGCCCAGAACAGAATGGGGCTCCTCGTCGGGCCTCCACCCTGCCCTCAGCCCCTGGCGTCCTGCCTGCAACCTGGGAAGGAGGGCAGGTAATGTGATTCCAGCTTTATTGATGGAGACCCTGAGGCTCCGAGAGAGGTTGCTGTGTGGCTGAAGCTGCACCTCTGAAATGACAGTCCAGCCAAAACCCACCCACCCACCTGTCCATCCACCCGCCCACCTGTGTTTCCTTCTGTCCATCCCAGGCAGGCTGGGACCACCCCTGCGAAGTCTCAGGGTCCAGTGCTCGAGGCAACAGCGGGCCCTGGGCAGATTTTATGTGCAACTCTATTTTTAATTAGCCTTTATGTTTCTTTTTAAAAGTAACGTGTATTGTTTTCTGATTGTGAAAGTAACATACGCTGTTGTAGGAAGTTGGGCACACAGGATGTCTGAGGCAGCGCCGTGAACGTTTCGGTGTTTCCTGCCAGCCTCTTCTCAGACCCACGGGCGTTCTGCAGAATTGGATTGAAGTGAATCATGTTCTGGATCCCGCTTTTTACACTTAGGATTGGGGGTGTATGTGCCCCCCTCACACGTGGAAAACATGCCCTTCAGAGGTGCGGACACGCTGCTGAGCCTGTGAGATCATTGAGCGGAGACGCTGGCCGCTCTCCAGCGGGCCCCGTCTTCAGCCTTAGGAGCAGCTCCCGGGCTGTGCGGTCGATCTCTGTGGTGCCGCCTGTGTCTGGGGGGAGCCTCTGTTGTGGCGTCCCCAGGGCCAATCGGTGGGCTGCCTCGCCCGGTGGCCCTGGTGGCTGGAGGATGACGTCCCCTGCGCGGGTCTGGAGAGGATGGCTGGCTCTGGACCCTCCTGTCCGTCCGACACAGAGCCTCCCCCAACCCCCGCAGGGCCCCCCAACCCTCTTACCCTTCCTCGCTGCCGGGTGGCTGCTGCCCAGGCTGCCTAGCCTGCTTGCCTGGCCTTCTGGAGCCTTCCACGACCCCATGCCCTGGGGGAATTTGCACGTCATGGACCTTCAGCATTTTAAAATAACTTGAGACCACCGTAAGGTCACCAAGTTTGTGTTTTCTCCACGTTGATAGTTCCCAGTTCCTTTTTTATTTTGTCAAGTAAAGACATAAAAAAAAGTACACTGCCATCCATCATTACTATCATTTTATTAAAAAAAGACATCTCAGTACCCCTGCGGTGGGCGGGATCCAGTCTCCAGAGAAGACAGCCCTTCAAATGGAATGAATTTAGCTTCCTAAGAACCTGGGAAGGCGCAGCCTGCTTTGCTCATCTTGCGTGAGATAGGTGTGGGCTTTGCATTTCTCTCAGCCCCCGAGAGTGGACCCTGTCCCGGCCCTCTCAGCACACGCTCCCAGACTGGCTGAGGTGGCCCAGTCCATGGAGGTGACACTTAGCGGCAGCAGGACCGTGCTTGTCGGCATCAGCCTGGGGCACTGCTGGAGCCCCTTGGGATGGTAGCTGAAGGAGTGGATGGTCATTTAGGAGCCCCCGGCAGGACGTCTGCCTGTGGGTGGGGGCTCTGTCACCAGGCTCCGGGGAGCCCAACTCTGAATCCATAGGGCCAGGGCCCAGCGTGGGTCAGTGATGATGGTGTAGCTTGATGCTGGGCCTGAACCGTGGCTGAGCCCACACCCAGCTCTCGTAGCCTGTGTCCATGTCAGGGGGGGAGTCTCTTTCCAGGACAAAGCGGGGACCCTTGCACTGGGCCTGCAGGCCCTGATGTTCTGTCGTCCCAGCTCCTCTGAGCAAGTGTGTGGGCTCGCGTGCAAGGCTGGGTCCCTGGCCCATGCTGCTGGCCCCTCACAACATGCTGGGGTCACCAGTGATGGTTGGACTCAAGGGGAGCTGGCGGTGTGGAGGGAGGCACAGGGGAAGGCAGACACCATGCAGGGAGCTGGACTGCAGCTTCCATCCAGGCTGAGGTCTGTGCTGGCCCAGGTCTCAGTGGACCCTGCCTCCAGCGTGACCCTACACTGGTAGGGACCACTCCAATGGCCTCCTCTCCCGGGTGGGACCTACGTGGCTGTGGAAGTAGCATCAGAGCTGCGTGGTGCTCCCTGGCAGACCAAAGGGCAAATACCCAAGCAGGGGTGGGGGGCGGGCTCACGAGTTCCGTCTGGACATCGTCTGCTGTGTTCCCTCCACCACGCGTGTCCTCAGACACTGTCTCCCACTCCCCCCAACCATGCATGTCCTCAGCTTGGCCCTCTCCCCACCTCAGCCCCTGCGAGGCCTTTCCTTCGTCTCTGCCTCCATTCTTGTCTTTTCCTGTGTGGCTGTGTCTCACCTCATTGCCTGTCCGCTCTCAGCTGGGGCTGAAGCACCAGGAGGCGTCCTCCCTCACACGTGATTGCGGGTGGGTGACACTGATCTCAGTGGGGGTCACTCGGGTAGCTTGGGCTCTCGGGGCGTGGGCCTCTTGGGAGCTGGACTTCTGTGTCGGCTCAGGGCTCTCGGGTGAATGTTCTGACAAAGAAGTCACGAACCACATGACATTGCCTCTTATGACCAGCTCAGAAGTCACGTAGCCACACCTCTGCCGACCCCTGTGGCTAAGGCGGTCCTGAGCGTGACCAGATGCAAGGGACCTTGACCCACCATGCATGTGGTGGGAGAAATGTTGCAGAATTTTTTGGCCAGTTTTTTCAAGCTGCCACAGTCCTGAAGCAGCAGTAGACGTGGCATCTTTGAGGAGCCAGAAGTGGGCGGCTACGGCCAAGTCTGTTGGTCAGGTGGGCCTGGGCCAGACCACACCAGCCCTTGGAGGCCTGGTAGATTGTTTGGGCTTCATTCCCCAGCAGTAGGAAGCCAGTGGAAGGCTCTGGAAGGGTGTGGCACAATGAGGGGACTGGAGACCAGGGATTCTGGGGACGGAGCCCTATTCATGCACTCCTCGCCGTGGCCGGGCTCTGAGGCCGGCTGAACAGGGAGGGCTCTCAGCAGACCTTGACCCGCTGGCGCACTGATCTTGGACATCCAGCCTCCAGACAGTGAGAAACCGCGCCCCCTGCTCCTGGGCCCCGGTGTGCGGTGCAGTGCCAGAGTGGCCGGCGCGGACGAAGCCAGCCCTGCTCATCAGCTCACGGAGGTTTGGTGGTTTCTCTTTGGCGACTGTGTGTACTGATGCTCTGAGCGTCTGTGTGGACCCTTGTTGTCCCTTCTCTTGGGTGGGTCCCTAGGAGTGGCCTTGCTGGTCAGATGGTGACTCTGTTGAACATTTTGAGTAGCCGCCAGACTGTTTCCCAGGGGCTGCACCTGTACCCCCCCAGCAGAGCGTGAGGGCTACGATTTCCCCACTCCTCCCGACCCTCGTCAGCTGCCTGTGACCCCAGCCGTCCTCCCACGGGCGCAGTGGCGTCTCAGGGTGGATTGGACCTGCACATCCCGATGCCCGGTCGTGTGGAGAGTTACTGACGTTGGTATGTTTTCTGTGAGGACTGTTTGGTTCTCCGCCCGTGTTTGAATGAGGTTACTTGTCTTTTTATTGTTGATTTGCTTCCTCCTTCCGGAAGCTTCTTCCAGGCTCTGCTGCTCGCCCTCTCCTGGGCTTCTGCCCTCCCTGGTTTGGGCCACCTGTCGGCCTCCTTCGCCAGCTCCTCCTTCCAGTGTCTTCATCTGCTTCCTCCATGCTGGGGGATCAGGCGTCAGCGGAGCCCTCCCGGGGCCCGTTGTCCACTGCAGAGACTTGAGGGGTGGCCTTGGCGCCCCACACCTTCACCTAGCCCGGCTGGTGCTGCTGAAACGTGTCTCCCTTCCCCAGCTCCTGGCCACTCCACCTCTTCTCTGGACCACATCTGGCCACGCTCCAGGTCCCCACCTGTTCCTCCTCAGTGCAGCCTGGCTGGGCCTCCCCACTGCTGGTCCCCCTCGCCTTCCAGGTCAGGGTCAGCTCCTGTGCCCGAGCCTCCAGCTGGGCCTCCACGGCCGCCTCTGTCCGTCACCTGCCCTGGTGACCGTTGTGTGCGACGCTGCCCCTTGCCCAGCCTGCTGACCCCAGGCACCCTCCAGCCTCAGCCGGGCAGCCCCTCCTCCTGCAGACTTGCCAGGCTGGGGGCGCCAGGGCTTGGGGGCTGCCTACGTGTCCGGCACAGAGGGTGGTATGAGGTGGGAGTCCAGCCTGATGTTCCTTAAACATGGTTACCTAGTTGCTGCAACTCCATTTGTTGAAAAGACTGTCCTTTGAATGCCTTGAACACCTCAGCACCTTCTTCAGTGATTACTTGAACGTCTACATACAGGGGCACCTCGGGGTTATTCTGTGTCACTGCTCTCTGTTCTCAGGACGGTGCCGTGTTGTCTTAATTACAGTTTCGTGCGGAGCCTTGAAATCCGTTGTGTCTGACCACCAGCTCTGTTC